CTTTCATTACATACTCCGAACGAAAAGAAAGTTTGTGCGAAATTGTTCTTGTATATTGAATATTACGAACCAGGTGGGGTCCGATATTTTCCGTAATGTCCACCATGTTTTATGTATTAGAAGTTTATACCACTAGAAATTCTGCAGAAATGTTGATCTGTAAATTTACTGTTATAACTTAGATCGTATTAACTTACAGTTTTGGGTGGCCGCTTTATTCGAAAGTCAGTGCGTTCAATCCATAGCCGAGTTTTAAATAATTTAGGAATCATACCTCGTATCTGCAAGGTATACTGATCGTGGCTGACAGTCAGCTATTTGTCGGGGAGGAATTTTTGAGCTTGAACGACGAGCTAGTTAGTTCCAATCCATTTATCTGTACGAAATCTGCGTTCTCTATGGATTCCCTTCAAACGCGATGTTTCAGCCTAATGTGACAGCCAACAAGATGATCTGTTTTACGTATGGAAATTACTGCATTTGTCATGACTTTGCAACGAGTCACGGTGACTCTTGGCTTCTATAGGCCTACTTTGTATTCAGGTAGAGCACAGACGAAAATCATGGCTACCGAATTTGAAAATTTCCTTTATTTATGAAGCAATTCAGAGTTTTTTTGTCATCTCATTCTATTCAACTGTGTCTGCAGGGGAACTGCGATTCGAAAATAAATAAGTTTTTTGTTTTTAAACTGAAAATAAGAATTTGTAAATTGTAACAAATCTCCACTTTAGAGAATAAAATAAGCGCATTTACGGGAAGAGACTAGCAAAATATTTTTCTATATAAAAAGAAACGTTTGAACAAGCATGAAATTTTATTTGCTTATCTTGTACTGAAGGCTATGAGGGGACAGTGATACTAATATAAAAACTAAATAGACTTCACCACTTCTGGGGAAGTATAAAACACACACTAGTAAGGAAAACTCAACCGCAAAATTTTAACAATTATACGGTTGTTGAGGCTGGCAATATTCAGAATCGCAGACTTGAAAAGCTTAAATTCTACTGCGCGGTTATTCTAAATTATCAGATTATCACGCTGAGGTGAAGAAACGGAAATTGTGCAGATAATTCTGTGGTAATACAAAAAATATTAAATAAAACAGTCAAAATGAGATAAGTGCATCGGGAATTAGTAGTTGTTAAGAAGGATCAAGTTAAAATCGGGATACATCACTTGAGCACAACAATTTTCATTTATTGACAGTGAAGAACTGATTGAAATACGATACTATTAATACATACACGCCTAACGTTTCTTCTGCTTCTCATGAAGAGTGATATTTAGTGTTTTAACCTTCGTTTCTTTTACACCACAAAATTTTAAGGCGTTTCATTCTTTATGAATTCGATGCATAGTGCATGGATAAAGATTTCGTAACAGCAGTTCAGTCAGAGACCCCCATTTTCTTGCGTTCTGTTTGTGACACTGTGGCATTGCGTATTGGTCGTGTATCGGACAGGTAGTAATTGGTCGGGTTGCAGCTGCGTCTCCAGCTAGCAGCGAGTCTAAATTGGTCCATAAATATTCGAAAGTGTTTTATCTGTTCCTTGCTATTATTGTAATAGACGGTTGCTGCTGAGGTTTGAGGGGCTTTGTTTCCAAATATCGGCAGTGTTTGAAATTGACGAATTTGAATTCGCATCAAGATAGCCCCCTTGCTCACACTTTAGTTCGTTTTTCATTCTTCATTTCATGTTTCTCTTTCGTTCGTGTTCTTTTCTTCTTTATCCCATTCGTTGGTATTATTTCTATTCTTTCATCCTCTCCTCCTGATAAACGGTAATAAAGTGACAAAATATTTCCTGAAGGCTTGTAACAATGGTCGATTCATTATAGGAACACTGTTGGATATTGTCCATTGTCGGAGGCGTATTTGATATGCACGACGTTTTGGGAACTTGCTCTATTCCCGTCTTCAGGTGTCTGGTTGTCATGCTGACACTTTCTCCTATATTATGAGTGACTGCGATCGGGATCGAACCCGAGACCTTTCAAATTGTGGCATAATTTCTACCAGTGGTCAGAAGGCGGGAGTAGAGCCAACTCCCGAAACGCTGTGTTTATAAAAATATACCTTTGAAAATGGACAATGTCGAACAATTTACTTATGAAGAGTAGTGACAAAAGGACACAGAAAAATTCTGATCTTTTAAATGTTTGAAACAGAAGCACAATAACTATTTACGTGGATCATTGCCCTTGTTAATAAATTAATAATTTTCCAGCTGGCAAAGGAATTTCCTTCCTTTCATGAAACCCGATCTTTCATTACCGTGTTCTTAAGAGGCATTCCCTGGCCTCTGTTCTATGCCGGATGAATTCACTCAGCATCTTCCCCGTTTATTTTAGATAAATTTTAATGTTGTACTCTAATCTTCTCCTAAATCTCACAATTGTCCTCTCCCAGTCATTTTTACCTTACAACATTTTGTACAAACCTGCATTTGTCATCGTTCTCTTGCATGCTACATGCCCTGACAATTCATCCTCCTGTATCCTATGTTTTAATTCACATAGAAAGAAACTATATTATCTGACGCGATGCACTCTTTTACTCAAGTACAAAGTTTATGAATGCCTGTTACGTACGTCTGGTTAGCCCTCATCAAAAAAGAAATCTCAGCATTTGCTTTGAAAGGCCAGACCATTGAGCTGTGTTAAGTGGACGTCCTTTAAACAGAGAGCAACTTTAATGTCGTCATTAAACTCAGCAAATAAGCAAGCGAAGCGTGGAAGGTGAAAGAGGGTCGTGGTATCCGAGTGTGATGGCTGTTTGTTTACGGAGGCGCTGATGAGCTCCACAGACTGCTTTGGTTACAGAGCATTGATTCGAAGACTATCCGGGAGTCAGTTTCTGCCGGTGTTTTAAAAATTAAAGCTCTGGAACTGCGTTTTTGTGATGTATTCTGTCTTGTGGGCTGTTGCGCCGTCTCCCTGATCACGGAGGCATCAATCG